GGAGCCCAAGAGACGGAGCAGAGAAGTTGCACTGAGCCTGTGGAACAGAGTGGCTGGCAGACTTCCTGACCCATGAAGGCAGAGGCAAAGGGGTGACATAGCAGAGAGACCAAGAACAAAAAGACATGTCTGCTAGCCTGACAGAAAAGACACTACAGACAAATGAGCTGTAGCATCGATATTTTATAACTTGTTAGTTTTCTTAATAACTCCTATAATGGTGAGTATTGTGTGGTCATTGCGCTAGATCACCACACCCAGAAGAGAAGTAGAATGTCATGGTTGGTGTCAGACTAGGGTAAAGGAACAGTGATCGTAAAGGCATGTCTGAACTCTGCCTTGTGGTGATTGGCCTTGGGTTGGTGTGGAGCTAAATTCTCCTTCTCCCTTATGCAAACAGAGGAGATCACTTGTCATTTCTGCCCCATTTCTTCAGGTGTGCATATCTTAGTCTGAAAATTAAGGATAGGAGGATAGCAAGAAATCATTTTTACAGGAGACATATTATTGGACCCATATATTATTTAATATTGAAAATGGCCCATGCATTTGAATTTTGTCATGTAGAAAATGGAAATTTAGCAACTAGTTTTAAGAAGGACTTTGTCATTGACCTTGCTGTTTCTGCCATCTAGAAGTGTCCCTCCCCAAACCTTTCCTTTACACCTGCACCGAGCCTCTAGGGTCTCTACACTCAGATGTTTATAACAATGTGTTTAGAACTTCCCTGGTACATATTACTTTTCACCTTGCATTTTAATCATTCCATGCGGATGCATCTGTTCTTGACAGAACCATGGGCAGGAATATCTACACAGAAAACAAGATGCTTTTAGAATGAACGCATGGTCAGATCATCAGCATGGAAGGGTTCGCCTCGTGTAGGATGGAGGCTGGCCCGGAAAAGGGTAGACTGAAGGGAGTGAAATTGGATAGGAGAGCTCAACCATGAGGTAAGAGCATTCCCTGAACCAAGACACGAGTGCTAGTTCATATAAGGG